ACTGTTGACTAGCTGCCCTCCCTCTGATCTATATGTTTAACATTAATGATGCTCGTGCTGTTGACTAGCTGCCCTCCCTCTGATCTATATGTTTAACATTAATGATGCTCGTGCTGTTGACTAGCTGCCCTCCCTCTGATCTATATGTTTAACATTAATGATGCTCGTGCTGTTGACTAGCTGCCCTCCCTCTGATCTATATGTTTAACATTAATGATGCTCGTGCTGTTGACTAGCTGCCTTTCCTCTGATCTATATGTTTAACATTAATGATGCTCGTGCTGTTGACTAGCAGCCTTTCCTCTGATCTATATGTTTAACATTAATGACGCTCGTGCTGTTGACTAGTTACCTTCCCTCTGATCTATATGTGTAACATTAATGATGCTCGTGCTGTTGACTAGCTACCTTTCCCTTGATCTATATGTTTAACATTAATGACGCAAGCACAGATAGCCTTTATGTAGTTTTGGGAGAATATACCCCCCACCCAAATTGTTCAAGGGATCAAAATTAAAAATTTGTCAAAATTTTAACTTTTCTCTAAGCAAATGTATTCACCAACATATCTTATTAGAAGTGTTAAGTAATAAATTTTCTACGTGTTAATGAGTACTTGTAGATGGTGTTTGTCTCCGAGTTAACCCTTTTCTTCGCATGAGTTCTCATCCTGCCACATCGATCTCATTAATCACCTTTTTTTACATACTGACTGATCTCTAAAGACAAACAAAGCCACAACGGGTAAATTCTTTAGTTTCGATTTTTTCCTTTTGATATTTTTCTCTTAATCTTAAAAAGAACCTCATTGAATGAATTTTTCTTTCAAGCTTTTACTTTCTAGATTACAATAAGCTATTATGAGTAATTAATCGTTTTTTTTAAGGCAATAACAGTCTGATACTGGGTGATGACCTAGGTTTTAATACACTAGAATTATCAATTAACATTATAACTTTACCAGTTTTATATACTAAAACTGACTGGACATTCTCATTTTGTAAAACAGTTTTGAATGATAAGTTGACAATAAAACTTTGAATTAGCAATTGTTTGTTTTTTGATTGGGTTAACTTTTTAAAGATTAATGCTTTATGTTTGTTTGTAATTAAACGCAAAGTTACACAACGGATTATCTGTGCTCTGCCCAACACAGGTATCGAAACCCGGTTTGTAGCTTTGTAAGTCCTAAGACGTACCGCTGTGCCATTTATAATAAATCTAAAATGTAAATAAAAATTGCGAATAAAGAAGATTCTGCAACTATTAATACTTTACTAATATATAAACATGATACATGAATACATTGATCATTGGATTTGGGATTAGAAAATTCTGCAACTATTAATACTTTACTAATATATAAACATGATACATGAATACATTGATCATTGGATTTGGGATTAGAAAATTCTGCAACTATTAATACTTTACTAATATATAAACATGATACATGAA